TTTAATAATAATGTTTAATAATAATGTTTAATAATAATGTTTAATAATAGTGTTTAATAATCCATAATACATATTAATTCAAAATTTGTAGCAAACGTTTTCTTTACTTACAGAAACTAAATTCTTGACTCATAACAATCTCAGTATCAACTATGGTACCGTGACTACAATTTCCTCCATTAATGAGTTTAAATCTAAGTAGAATTAAGGTGACGGCATAATTAAAAAAAAAGGAACCTTTGGATAAAAATATTATGAAAAAGTAATTTACCTAGCATGATGTCGTTTTTGTATAATCACAAATGTTAACTTTGGTGGTGGCAGATTTTCAGATTTATAATAATCTTTAAGAGCAACAAGTAAGGGTTCCAATTCATCCTCTATAACAGTTTCAAACTGTGTTTCTCCAACGCCATCTCGATAAAAAATTATTTGGTCTGGAAGAAGACCTCCTCTGGCTTTACGTTGTTCAAATAATTCTAAAACCATATCATTAAGATTCTCTATAATATCAACATCATGTCTTAACTTCTCATTCATACGATAACGACAACAATATTCTGTTAAAGTGTCATTCATTGAACCACAAATTGCAGGTACACTAGGTCGACCTTTTTTCTTATCATCTCTACTTGGATGATAAACATCTGCAGCAAATACCATATGCTAACATAAAATAATAACATATAATAGAAATAAATTTAACATAAATTTAAATGGATTTTTAATGAATATAATAGAATAATAAATAATGCTTACAGCTCTTTCACACTTGAAATCAAGTTGACCATCGGCCAACCGAGAATTGTTACCATTGAGTTTAGCATTTATTTTTAATGCCATATTATTAAAAACTTGTCTTAATCTACGATTATCTTTAAGACCCTTAGTTAGAATACATTGGTTCATAATGCCTAATTCCAAATAGCAAATTCTTTTTATTTTTGCGTATAAACAATCTTCTTCTTGTTGCTTTTTTGGAATAATACATATAATCAATTGAGCTGGTTTTGAGGGTTCCATTAAAGAGTCTTGAACAGCCAACATAATGGCCTATAAAGCATAAAAGTTATATCATATTAACAAAACTAATATGCCAGTTAGCAAAGATAATGCTGTATTACATACTGTATTACTGTACATACTTTTTTATAATCTTGGCAATTACTTATCGAGATTTTTGGCATGTGTGGTACATTCTAAAAGATTAAAATCAAATATTTTAATTTATATTAATTTATATTAATTTGTTTTTAATTTATTTTTATTAATTTGGTTCAAATTATTATCAAAAAAAAACAATAGTAAATTATACTTACCAAGCCTTTTGAAATTAATACTTCCTTCAAGAGTCTGATTGCAGACTCAATTAAGTTAATTTTTAGTTCTAAATCAAAGCAAACTACAGACCAATTATATAAATCGTCACTCTGCAATAACAAAAATATTTTTAAGACACCTATGTAATTAGTGATTTTAAGCAATATATAAAATTCTAAATTACCTCATTAAATTTAATAATCTCCCATTCCCCTTTTTCTGTAGTTATTTGTTTATTGTTAACAATCATGTTTGGTGAAATGAGCTTTTTTGCTAAAAAAATCAATTAAATATTGTATTATTTAAACAATAACCCTTATAGTACTGTATAATAATATAAATAATTTATTAAATGTATTACATTTCACTTTCATGAATCCACTGTTATCCACATGAAATTCAATAGACTGTAACCTTTTATCACTTCCATGTTTGTACTCCTTTTGAATACCTTTATTTATCCTATCAAATCTCTCCTTTGGTCCAATCACAGTCTTTTTAATCATATCCTCTTGCTGAAGTTGAGTGAGGTCATCAGTCTTATGTTTTTGACCTAAAAATAATCTTAATGGTTTAGTCACATATATATAAATTACATGTAATAAATGTTGTCAGAAAATCTTACCACGAACCAACACACATACTTCTAAAGGAAAGAAACTAGTGCGATAACCTTTTTTAACTACAATACACGGAAGGTTTGGATATACTAATGGTAATTCTGAATCTTCAAAATATTTTTTAACAGTAGTTTGCACTTCATCTTTCATAAAAGTTTGTTTACTAGCAGGCAGGGAGGTAATATCAGTAATAGTTTTTTCAGAATCAGAATAAGTAGTAGTAAATTTTAAATTTTTTAAAAATCGTTTAAGATTTTGAATATCTCTATCATAAAGTCCTTTACGTAAGTTTACATGAGAGAGAATTAAAGGAAGTAAATCAATCAACTTTCCCGATGGATAATATGTTGTGGCACAAATATCATGATTGACAAGTAATTGATCTATAAATTTTTTTTTTTTTTTTTTTTTAGTGGATTATTTATAAAAAGTATATATATATATTTTTTACTCAATTTATAAATATAATTAATAAAGATTTATGGAACTTACTCCACCCTAAACGAATACTTTGATAAAATCCAAACATAAGTTCAAGTCCACCATATAAATATTGTGGTTTATCGGGAATTGGAAAGGTTCTCCTTCCAAGAGTTAAGTTTCTTGAACGAACATCAGAATTAAGATATATATTGAGAACTCGCAAGAGGTTTAAAAGTTTACTATCCAGAATTTGATAATTATCTTGTTCAATATAATTTTTCAATAAATTAAAATCAATCTCGGCACTAAATTTAAGGATAGCAATAAATTGTTTTCCTTCTATAGTGACCTATAAAAAAAATAAAGACATTCAGACATAGATATTCAGTGGATAATTTCTTCAAAAAAAAATAAGAGATTGAAGAGATTGAACACTTACATTTAAACGTTTTTGATTACCGAATTCGGCAGAGGAATAAATCATGTTTTCATCAAATGCTGGAAAAATGTTTGGACCCAATTTTTTGTTCTCATATAAATTACGAAAAACTTTATATAAATCATTTTTTTTCGCTTTTCTTCCTTGAGTTGAAACTTCAAAAGTATAACTATATAATTTTTTAAAACTAAACTATAACAGTGAAAAAAAAAACCTTTGTTAAGTTTTGTATATAAGTTTGGTATACAGTAATCATATTTTAATATCTATAATGCTTGCTTTAACTCTCCGGAAATTTGTTTCTATTTCAATAATTTCATCTATTTCATCCGGTG